GCAACCACGCTTAATTATTCCATCTTAAATTCAGAAACAGGATTTTTGCTTCCCCTAACAAATCTCTAGGGATGGTAGGAGTGGGGAATTGGTCAAGAGAGATAAAATCTTTAGGAAAAGAGAAATCTGAAATACTGGAGGTAAATCTTACCATTAGCTTTTCCTTTTCAATAAATGCAGAACTGCTTTATTTTTTTAAAGCAGTTGGCAATTGTTTTACTGTTTTACTTGCCCATAAAGTTTTCTTTTTAACGACACTTTCCATGTCTGGCATCACTGCTTCACCTCCTCACTCATTACAGAAATGCCCCTGGTGTTTTTAAAAATGTAATCCATGCAAAGCTTTCCCATACATGTCCTCGTTTGTGGAGGTTTTGGCTATTTAAAATATAATTTAATCCGCCAGGATTATTATCTTTCCCTCGCCCCCCCTTTGCCAGAATTTATTGGGGCTGTGACTCCTCTTCCTGCAAGTGCTGGCTATACTCGGGCTTGGAAATCAGCACCAAGATCTATTTTCTTCACCTTTGGTGTGAAATAAAGTCAAGGTAGTGCAGGTGACATCAGCTCAATCTCGACTTGCACGTGGAAACCCCAGATGCTCAGGTCAAATGGCCTGAGCCGCATGGACACCCTGAAGCCTGATTGCTTTTGGCAGGTATTTGCTACCTTAACTTACCTCCAAGAACATGATGCTAACACTCAGCCTATTTTAAATGTGACATTTACTGAAGATAGAGGAAGGTTAGAGAAGCAGTGGTGACCTGAGGAAGGTGAGAGAAATGAGGACCTGGGTGCAGCTGTATGAAAGAGGCTCATCTGAAGGGAAGCAGAGCATGAGAATCTGCTCTGGGGCTAAAAACGTGGACTAGCATCACTTTGAGATGGGACCTCAGTCAGTAGAGCTACATTGTAGGATGAGTCTTCGTTTAAAACGCACAAATCTTCTACCATCTCCTACCTCTGCCAGCCCGCTTGGGCTCACGTGCTTCCACTGGATGTCACTGTTGCTCTCTGTGAATGCAGTAAAAATCTCATTTTACCTGTGCTGAAAATGACGACTTGAAATGAGGGGGGGAAAAAGAATGCAGTGGTATTTCTCCCCTGTTTGGATTTGCGGAATTGGGATGCAGATAGACGGTGTGCGCTGCCTTCCTCCCCTCTGGTTTCTGTTTGCTTCAGCTAAGCTGTTGAGTTTAGTTGCCCGTGCTGAATAATGTTTTGGATTTAATTTATGCATTGCTTAAAGGCAATGCCTTCTTTCTAGATTAAAAAAAAAAATCTTGGTAGCATGCTGTATTCTTTTAATAGCAGGGTAGGGGAAAAAAAAAAGAGGAGAGAAACTATGTACACAGCACAACCTGGTCCAGGGGACTAGAGGTAAGGCTGCGAAGAGCCCTGGCCTCAGTTCCTCTTTTCTGGTGGAAAAAGGAAGGAAAAGAAACATTTCTTCTTGATCTGATTACAGAAAAACTCCTCTTTCTTAGTAGGTATGAAATTCTCAGGTAGGTGGGAATGCTGGTAATGTATTCTCTGAATCCCAGTATTTAGAAAGCTAAATGGTGTTTTTTTCTGCTGTCCACTGGAGTTTTCCTCCTGACATATGTGCTCAGTGGCTGCTGTTTGCCCCCCGATCAACGTGGTACCAGCTGGTCTGTGTTTGTGGCTAGAGCTGTTTTCAGCAGAGGTTTCAGGACGGGGATGCGGGACCGAAGGCGGCTGAGTTTCCCCCTTCCCCCCGTACTTGCACTGTGCTGTCTTTAAGTGGTTGCTATAAATAAATCACTTCTGTTTTCCCTTTGTCACCACGAGCTGTATTGTACTCCAGCGCTGCTTATCCGCTCCTCCTTTCATGTTCAGCTGCTTCTCGCTCTCCTTCCAGCGCTTAATAAGCAGATGTTGTAATAAGATCTTTAATGGCAGATACATTTGTTGGGTTGTGCTGAATAAATCACGCGCTTGAGCTCTGACTAAAGAGCTGAACCTCTGCGGCAGCCGCGGCGTCGCTGCGGGTGCCCTTGCCCGCGCGGCCAGGCCGGACAGGAGCCCGCGTGCCGCTGTGGGCGGTCGGGTGCTGCTCGATGCAGAGGCAGTCATGAGCCCAGCGCCTATTTCAGGGCTTTTTCTGAATTTTTGCAATTATTTAAAGCTCTTGAATTGGAAGTTAGCTCACCGTGTGCTTTATGCTGCTGTTAAGCCGAGGTAGCTGCCGCTTGGTCAGCAATGGTGGTTTTATTGTCGTTCATTTTTGATGGACAGTAATGAGACTATTTTAGTACAAAACTGGAAACAGTCAGTCCGGGCGCAAGGCAGTTCTTCCTCATTTGGGTGCAAGTTTTCTGGCAAGTGGACTTCCCATTTTGGCAGTGACTAGCACAGGTTGTAGCTTGGCTGTTTAAGGAAAGTTGCTGAACACTTTTGTCTTCTTCCCTGTGTTCCTTCTGAGTATTATATTTTAATGTGTCAGGGCAAAGCTTCCCCTGGTCCCCACAGTGATGATTAGCACTGTCACATTCACAGGAGGCACTCGCAGCTTAATAGGAAAGTTCATTGCCTAACAGTGTAGCTTCAGCTGCTGCTGCTGCTGTGTTTGACCTGCCACATAAGCAACTCTCAGCACTTTTGGAAGATAACCTGTCACCTCGTCGCCATATAGACTCTTTCCATTTTTTAATGAAGGAATGTTTTCTTTAGCTCATAAAAATGTTCATTGTCATCTCTCTCAAATGGGCACCAAAGTAAATTCTAGAGCTCCACTTAGGCTGGAACGACTTTCAAACGTGCCAGGATCTGCCCTGTGGAAGCTGGTGGCATTTCCTCATGTGAGCAAAGCTTTATTGGCTTTGGTGAATGGGCACATTGGTATGGAAAAGCCAAAAGGATTAAAAGTCCTGCCCTTCTCCTTGGAATCGCAGTAGGAAGGCCGTGGTGTCCGCGTTCCCCTTTGCTCCTCAGGCCCCTAGTAGCAGAGAGGGGCAGTCCTGGGGCAGTGTCGAGGCAAATGCTTGTACCCTCGGTCTCCTCAAAAAGATGCATTGAATTTTAGTCCAGTTACTTGTCTGGAATGTGATTCGGACGAGCCTGGATGCAAAAGTTTTGGCTTAACCCCGCACAGGAAAGCGCTGCGCCTTGGTGGGAGAGGAAGCAGCGCGTGCGCCCAGCGGGTCCCTCACGATGGAGCTCTGCTCCTCCGGCCAAGGCAGGCCGCGCTTGCCCCTGCCGAGGGGCTCCTTCTTGTTGTGGCTTCTCTCACGAGTGACCAGCTGCGAGCTGGCGCGCTGCTGCTGCGAGGTGGCCCGCGCACTGGTCATGGCCACGCTGGGCACATCCCAGCCCGGCTCCTGCTGCGCGCAGGGCCTCTCACAGGAGCCTACTTGGCAGGGGCCCAGGTTTCATCCTGCGGCTTCATGCCGTCACAGCGAGTGGGATGGTTAGGAAGATGCATCTAGCAGATTTCATATTCCTCTGCCTGGCTGTGGGCTGCAATTCTAAGTGGTATCTGTAGGTGTGGATGTTGGATCCTCGGTTCTTGCACCTGCTGTGGCAGCAAGGTTAGGGTTTGCTTGATTTTCTCCTTTTTTTTTTTTTTCTTGTTTCTAGAAGTGAATCTGCAAATACCTTGCTGAGTAGAAAGCCTCCCTTTTGGGAGTCGCTCTTAATGACGTAGCTGATTCGGGGTCTGCAACAAGCAGCTGCTGCCGCCTCCAGCTTCAGCTCAGCACGAGGAGGGAGCATCGGCCGCGGGAGCATCTCGGCAGCCTTGCCCGTGCACCAAACTCCTGAGCTTGGTGGGCAGCGGGGTGTAGCAGAGAGAACACTAATCCTGGGTTCAGCCCAACTGCTTGTTCTGAAAAGCTGTCTGACATATGTTTTAAAGATAGAGGAGAAAATATGTTGGTACAGTCATTTCTCTGCTTCTGAGTCAGCTTGTTCTAATGGTTTTTGAAGTGGAAAGCTCATAGTCATTTGGGGCGTTTTAAGTGCAGGTTGAATGTACTGTTAGCTCGCTCGGATTTCTGCTGTGCCATGTTTGGCCTGAAGTTAGCCTGTCAAAATAGGAAAATAGCAAGAAAATGCATTGTTTATGCTTATTACCTGTTGAGCAGGGTTTTGTTTAAATGTTTAAAATGAATAGTGGGTATGCAAAGAGATGTGGAGCCATTTCTAATCTAATGGATTTGTTTATTCTGGAAGAAAGATACAATTTTGAAAGAAAAGGAAGAGTTAGGAATAGCTTTTCTAGTAAAAGTCTGCTTATTTTAAAGACTTAATATATTCTGAATGAAATATTCAAGTTTGCATAACTGGAACAGTTGAAATTGAAACTTCAAAGAACACTTTTAACCTCATTGAGGAGGGAGAACCGGTTCAAGATATAAACAAAATTAAAATGACTGAATCAAAATTGTGTCTGTTTTTACTTAATGCGTCCTGGAACATTTAGCTTTTGTTGAATGTAACCGCCTTAACAAACACAGAGAGAGCCTTTCACTGTGCTGTGCAATAACTTCTTTTGCTGTTGGAGTGAAATAATAGCAGTCTCTTAGCAATGTAGTTTACCTAGTTCTTATAAATTGGATGTGCTACTTCCATAGGGCTCCAAAAAAGTCTCCGTTCACCTGAGTAATCTGTGCCAAGGTAGCACATGAGCAAAGCCCTTTGCACAGACATAATTTGAATACTGCAGGCGAGTTGCAAGTTTGACATGTACAACTTGCATTGCCGTCTTCCTGATGAGGATGTTTTTGAAGAAAACCACCCTCTCTAACCCTCGCACCCCCCCAAAAAAATGTCTTGTGAAACAGACAAGACTGCAGCAGCTTTTCCCCTTCCAGCAGCTAAACAATTATTTTTCCTCTCTCCTTTTATTTTCCCTTTCTTCGAATAGTGTAGAGTGTTTTCCAGCAATAATTGTACTTTACAATGTTTTCTTCCATAAAGCAAAACCTTCTCCAGTTGTTTGCATTGCAATAGCAAAGAATGTCTGTTTATTTCCCCAGCAGTCAGAAATGGAGTGTGGTGTTCATCTGAAGAAAACTAAACCTCAAGATCCTGCTAGGAACCACCACCACCAGCAGCAAGAGGAGGAGACCATTGCAAATACTCTAGAGCATATTGTGGGACAGCTGGATGTTCTGACTCAGGTATGGAGTAGTTCTGGAATGGGTAGTGGTTCCTCTGCTAGAAGAATCAGGAATATTTTTGTGATAGCCTCTTAGAATAAAGCTCCTCCGAGATCCTCCTTCTCTCCCTCACCTCATCCATGGCTATGCAGTCCAGTTCCTGCAGTCTTCTCCTGCCATGGGCAAGTGTGGGCCCTTCCATGCCTCATCTCAGACAGGTTTGCTCAGCCACGACTAGCAAGCAACTAAGCGTTGTCGCACAGCTCTTCCTCAAGGCCATTAAATAATGCTGAGCACTAAGGGAACTCGGCAAACTCATGGATGTCCTTCCAACTCCTTGACGAGTGCTACCCATTGATGGTCATCTAACACATGATGCTTTTCTTAGACCTCAAGGATAGAGTTGTTTCTTGGTTAACCAAACAGCTGCTCATTGCTCCGTTCGGGAAATGTCCCTTCCTGTCCCTTATCTGTGCTTGAATGTCACTGTAGGTTTTGTGGGGATGTGAGAAGCAGGGAGGAAGCTTGGGATAGGGGACACTAGTGATCTCCTGGAAAACCTGTGTAGGGAGAGCTTTCCTGGGAGCTTCTTAGTGTTGTTTGAGGGGAAGAACTAGTGGTTCTTGAACACAGTATTGAACAGTGATTAGTAGTCCTAGTTAGGCCTTTGCTCTTGAGGGAATTATTTGTTGCCAAAAAAAGTAAGGTGACAGATTGGAGGGCACAACACGAGATTCAAGGAGATCTGATCTAAGGGCATAAAACATTCCAGGATTGCACACAATCTAAAACAGTGCAGGGTAAAACCCAGAAGATATGTGAGTCAATGTGGCAGAAATACAAGGGAGTACTCTTGCTTCCTCTGACTTTGAGGACACTGAACACTAGCAAAAGAAAAAAAAAATGGTATTGTGTCCTCATGCTTGTGATTAAAATACATTACATCCCAGTGTATATACAGAATATTTTATTGCTGTTTTTGTCTCCTGAGTAAGGTTGGAATGTGATGCTTATCTCTCATTATATAAATCAGATCCACATTTCTGATGATGGATGTGTAATGGCTCCGCTTCAACTTCATAGGTGTTTAGAGGAGGCTAATATTCCGGTAAACAATATGTGTGGGATTTAAGCTAGATATAAGCAATACAAACATAGCTCTAGAAGTTTATTGTGTAACTGGAAAAAATTCAAAATGTTGTTTTAAGACTAACAGAAAGAGAAATTGAGATCAGTGGGGGAGGAATAAATTAGTAGATTGTAGCATAAAATTGGAAATTAGTCTGAAGTTATAGGAAAAAACAAAAAGCTGCCTTGACTAGTAACTTTATCAGCAACTGTAGTTTTTTTGCCATCCTTGGAGTATATTTAATTTCCTCTTGGTTCTAATTGTTGTGTGTTTGCTATTAATGCCATCTTAATGCATGTGTTCAAGCAGACGTGCCTGGCGTGCAGCTGAAATCATTTTGTAGTTCTTCATTTTCACTCTCCTAACATTGCATTTGTTTGTGATAGTTAGAATTAAAACAAGCCAACACAAAGTGATCCGAGTTAAGCAAAGCTCCCATTCTTGCAATAAGGAAGATTTCCCTTTGCAGAAATGGACGGTGACCGGCAGGTGCCACAGAGGAGCCCATCAATAGCTGCCACCTCCAAATAACCCCAGACAGGTTTGCTGGCTTCCTTTTGTGAAAGAAACACACCACTGTGTCTCGTGTTGATTTTTTCTAAACTTTTGTAAATAGCACAGAACAGGCATCAGGCTTTTTCCCTTCCTGAAGACAGGCTGAGGATGTGCCATGAGTCTCCCGTGGTGCCCTGCCGTAAATCACCAGCTCGGACTCCTGAGCATTGCCTGTTTAAAAGGCACGCCAAGGACAGGAGCTGAACCATACGGCTTAAGCTCGTCTGTAGATGAGAAGAAAAGACAAGACTCCCCGTGACATTTCCAGAAACCCTCTTTTGGCACAGCCATCCCAGAGTTTTCCAGGAATTAGGACGTGTCAGCTTTGTGGGAGGTTGGGTATACTCCAGTGTAATACCTCTGCTTCCTGTGCTTTTTGTTCCCAGTGCTATTAACATGATGTAACACTACAACTTCCAAAAGCTGTGATAAACTATGGGAGAAATTGTGTAAATCTCCAAGTAGTTTACTCATCTGCTATTATTTTTTAGCTATCCTTTTGAGGTTTATCATGCCAAATTTCACACACTGTAAAAGTGGCAAAGGAAATATTGCTGTTTTCTTTGAGAATTTTCCCTGTGAAAGAGATGATAGTAAGAAATCAGTGAGCAGGGCCATCCCTGGCCAGTGCCTGGCTCTGCTTGGGGCTGCACAGCAGTTTCCAGCACCTTCCCGATGCCAGCGGGAGGTTTGGAGATGGAGGGGCGCGTCGTGCACCTGGAGGCTGTATGATCGCCGCCTTCGAGTGAGAGGTCTCTGCCTGCTGCCCCTCTGACAGTAACAGCTATTGTAGATAATAGATACCAGTCCTCCTAAACTTGCAAAGCTTCATTTTGTGCTGCTAACGTCTTGCTATGATTTTATTCTTAAGGATTTTTGGCAGCTTTCTTTTAACTAGGCTTTGATTCAATTAAAGCTTCCTCTCCTTCTGAATTATGTCAAGCCAGTGTGTTTTACTCGCAGGGAGGCAGCCTGATGTGACCTGACAGAGTCCCCAGTGTTCCCACTTATTTATTCACTTCAGACTCCTCATGTTTTTCTAAACATGGGTTGCAGGCCATATTTTACATGCAAATAAAGGAGTCGGGCTCTGACTCTCCCTTGCAGAAGAGTAGCACTTAACTGGGCCATCTTGTTGCTCTGAAGGATGGAGTAAAGTTAAGACCTGGGCATAAACCTGTTGCTTTCAGCAGTTCTTGGGTTACTTAAGGTACCTCGTTAGGAAAGTGGCAAATCAAATCTGATGGAGGAATGAGGAAGATGAGACTAATGGTAATGCAGGTGCCTCATGCATGTGTTGCACCTCTCTTTGCTACAGTTTACTTGTCTTTTTCTATATGGGAATAATTCCTAAATCCTGTTCCTTTTGGGCTTTTCAGAGAAAATGGCAAACACTTAGCAAGTATTTGTAATCAAAGCCTGAATCGTGGTATCTAGTGCATATATGAATGAATATTAAAGGTTAAGTGGGGGAAAAGAAGAGGATTTTTCTCTTGGGTCACTCATTCCTTAGTATTCTAGAATAGAAAGGTGCTTTGACCGGAGCCCGAATGGAGCAGGTATTAGGAGCTGGTCTGGGGTGTTACCTCGAGTGCATTTCCTGCATGTGCAGCTCGGCTGCTCCTCTGCAAGAGGCTCATCAGTGAATAAATATCTCTGTTACAGTGGAAATTGGTATTTGCAATGATTAGCTCAAAGGGTTTCTGTACTTCTGCCCTCGTTCCTGACACCTGCAGTTGCCACATTCACTCTGTTAATCTGTAACATTGGTCCTCAATAGGCAGTGAGGAAAAAGCTGCTGTTTTTGTGTGGGAAGAAAGATGTTTCTGCTAAATGAAGAGTTCAGAATCAGGTTATAAAAAAATCATAAATAGCTGAGATAATCCACCCACAGGAAACAGTTTCATATACATCCCAAACTAATCTGCGTTGAAGTTGGGGGAAAATAGCACAACGAAATGGAGAAGATTCGATAAATCCCTGAGAAAATCCCAGACGGAACTAAAGGACAACTAGCTCATGTGAGATTAAAGGATTATTTCACTTATTCCAGAAGAGACTGCAGAGGAAGGGAGGAAACAATTTTTTAAAATGAAATTATTTAGTCCAAAAAAAAAAGCTCGGAGAAGTGGGAAGATTTTTAATTACAATTTGTGTTATATGCAACGTGTATAACAAAAACCAAATTTGTTAGTCTTTACTTTGAGATGTGGTCTTCAAATCATGTGTTTGTAAGGAATTAATGACTATTCTCTTCCAAGAGATATTGAATGCAGATTAAATAACTGGTTTAGGAAAGTAGGTTCTTTTGACTTGAAGGAGTTACAAGTTAACAGGTCACGTTTTTGGTTAAGCTTTGGTTACCTGGGCCTGGTGGAAACGTCGTGGTTTGTGCACTGCTTTCAGTGCTTTCGTATCCGCCGGCAGCAAAGGGTCTCGGCCAAAAAGTGTGTGGGGGTGAAACTTGGAAATGCAGGTTTTGTTCTGGAAGCAGTTGTCGTCTGCAGTCAAACATAAGGCTCTGAGGACCTTCAGCTTGCATCCTCCTGCCGGAGGAAGGGGCACTGGGCACCTCCCACCGTTCGTTCTCGCGGGCAGACCTCGAAGAGGGATCCTTCGATTCACTCTGTTCATAGAAATGGTGACTGGGCCGTCGGGGACCGGCAGCTCGGTTAGTTTTGCTGAGCGATCGGTACCGTTCTGGGGCGGGTTGGGAGGCAGGGGAAGGACGCACTGTGAGAAGCCTTGGCTGGAGCAACCCCTGGCATCACAGTTGGGACAAACCCTAGTTTTTTGGGGCTGCTGAACTCTGGGTTGTGGTGTAGGTTACTCTTGTGGTATCTTCTGGTTGCTCATCAGACCCTCCTGTATTTTTACACCAGAAGGTCTCCTATCTGCTTTGCTGTCCTTCGGTGATCTAACCTCACGGCTGGGGAGGCCGCGCGCTGCAGAGCCTGCCCTACCCGCGCCGAGCGGACACCCTTTCCCTTACGGAGACTTCCAAGTGCCAGCAATTTGTCACTGGCTGACAAACAGTCAGGGCGCCAGCAAGAGAGCTGCGTGATTAAACATCTTTAATAAGAAGGCTCTTGAATGCGAATTGAAAAGATCATCCACATGGTTACAGACAGCTTGTGTGCTTGGTGTCCTGTACAACCCAGAGACAACGGGCAGAGCCTGAGGCTCATCCTGGTCAGTCCTCAGATTGCCCTGCTAGCAAGGATGATCCTCTGCTGTGCTCCAGGGTCCCTTTGGTCCGGGTGGTAGAGCTATTGACCACGCTGCGGGGCCTGGCAAAGTGAATAATGCTGCAATTGCCAGATAACCTTGAATGCTTTTCCTCCTGCAAAGCACAGCTAGTGCTGTGCGTGCTTGAAATGCGTGTTGTCATGCCAGGAGTGCCAAAGCTGCTTCTAACATCTCGTTAAAGAACTATCTAACTGTGATTTGAGCAGCTGTAGACGCTGGACCTTGCGAGACGGTGCAAGGAGAGGTGGCCGCAGACGCTGGTGTGGGTGGCAGGGGTTGAGCAATGCTTGTTTGAAACTTGAGAGCTCCTTTGTTCCTTCTCTCTGGTCCTTTGCTGCCAAATATCAGAAACCCTTGGCAAGTACTGCTCCACTTACTGTGGAGCGAGCAAGAGGCTTGGGAAGCTCCATTCAGTGAGGCTTTGTTCCTTGTCTGGGATAGTCAGGTTTCCATTTTGCTTTCCTCGTTGTGCTCGAGAGGAACCCCCAAGTCTCTCCGTGTACAGTCAATGGAGTGTGGAGACTGAGGAGCCCATAGAGGCTATAAAGATGCTGCAAAATATTCTTGGGGGCTTTTTTTTAACCTTAAGGGGTAAAACGGGTAGTTCTTGCCTGAGTAGTTTAGGAGCCTGAGCAGGGGAGCTGATCTGTCAAAATGAAGCCAAGTACGACCAGGCTCTCTTCTTTGGGAATAAGACATCAGCCACTGTTTTGAAGGCGAAGTCTCAGCTTCCAGTGCAATTTCTTATGATATTGTGCTGAAACTGCTGGTATGGATATGTGATGTGAAGCACCTCTGATTTTTGACTGTTACTTGCCCTAAGCCTAGAAATCAGGTTGCTCTACTACTGCTAACATCACTGTAAGGTGATACTGTGAAGAAAATTAAGTAATGCTTTGCTCATAGTACAGAGATCTACTCATCCCAATGTCTTTGTACTCGGTGATTAGAAATCCTTGCATCCAAAGTTGTCATTGGGAAGTCTCTGATAGATTCCCCCTGCCCCAGTATAGCATGTCTGCAGCTGGTACTTGTTCTTTTGCAGGTGCTTTTTTTTGGCATAAGAATGAAAAGAATGTTCTTTTCATAAATGAGGATGTGAGATGGGGAGACAGGTCTTGCGAGGCAGAGGAACGACGCTCACTAATGTGCTGGGTGATCCCCTGTGCCTAAGTGTCCTACAGAATCATCCTTATTGTCTGCTTAGAATAACTTGTAACACTTGGTGAGGACTAAATTTTAGGAATCTTTCTATTTAACTGCTACAGCTTTAATGCAAAGTCTCCAGCTTTTTCTCCCTGAGGTATAAGGGAGCTATAGGATTAGCTTAGGAGCCCCGGGAGGCCAGAGCTGGGTTCAGAGAAGGTCGAGGCAGCTCCCATGGGATGGAGCCAGCGGTGTTTCCCAGTCAGATGAATTGTCAGCTCGCTACCTTCCAAAATGCAATAGCAAAAAGAGGTAGCACTTGAATGAAGGCAGCTGAATTTGCCTACCAACAGGGACTGATTTATAAATAGCAACGTGGAAATGCTGTAAAACTGTCAGCTGTGAACAAAGCGGCTGTTTGTTTGTGTGCAGGCTGCAGGATATCAGCAGTAGTAGCTGGGCAGGGCTCGTGCTTTTCCGCACCTTCCCGGGACCCCAAATGCCCTCTGTGTTTTGGGTGTCGCATATTCGAACCCGAATGGACTGTCATGGGCAGCTTCTACTTGGAATTTTCAGGATTTCATTTTTTTGACTTCTTTTTTCCCTTTTAGCTTCCAAAAAATACTCACCACGAGTTTATTATCGTGGACACGGTGTATAATTGTTAGCATAAATCATTTTCCTTGCAGCTTTTCTACAAACTCAACGTTGTCTGCAGTCCACTCGGTCTGCGTTTGGTTCTCCCGTGCTGTGTTGCAACGGGAAGGCCTGGGCCCACAAATAACCTGGGGCTTTGCTTCCAGCCGAGTAGTGTGACCAGGACATGAATTCAGCTGATTAGCTTCTCAAAGGAAATTTGATGCAACGTGTTTCTTCTTTCCTTTTTTTTTTTTTTTCTCTTGCCTTTTAAATGAAAAGCTGAGTCTTGAATTGCTAGGTCTTTTTAAATGGAAAAACCAGGATCCCCGCTGATTTTCATTCTCTGCCTGGTGGGTTCCAGGCTAAGATCTTTCCTGCAGAGCCCTGGCAGGCTTTGTGCCTGCTGCCTTCCTTCTCCATGGGCCTGGCACGTGAAATCCTGTCCCCTCTGCAGGGACCACGGAGCTCCCGCTGGCTCAGGGGCACCTGGGGCTTTACCTGGCGGCTCCCCAAGTTGGGCTGTGGCTCCCTCCTTGCTGTCCTCCTCAGAAGGAGGAGTAATAGAGAGGAAAACCCTCAGAAGTGCCATAATGAATCAGTTGTTTTGGGTAAAACTGTGTGCAGCGGCGATGTGTTGCCTGCTCTGCCTTGCCGCGAGCTGGTGGCACATGTGTGGCAGCAGTAAGCTGTGACCTGCTGCTTGCAAAGACAGGCCCGTTCCCGGCAATCCCCCCCACAAAGTCCCTTTTGGCAAGAGGGAAACGGCTTTGCCTAGTGCTTAATACTCCGCATCACATCTGTGTGTTCTCCTCACCCCCTACCATTTTCTTTCATGCCCAAAAACATTTTGCAGGAGACTTCTGGTCACTCCGACGCCCGTAGAGCTATTTCCTCTCTTTGTGCTCCAGTTTCCCCAGCTGGAAAAGGGGAATGATGAGACCTGTTTTCTTTTGTCAAGCACTTAGAGATGTGCTTACGAAATGTGCTATTAAAAGGCTTTCTATGTATAACTTCTATACAAATAGTGGTCGTCCAGGTTTATTTGAATTACTTTATCCAAGCCCAAGGTTCTGCACATCCTTTGTTTTTAAGAGAGGATGTTATTTATGAAGCAAAAATGCTCAAAATGCAAAACTATTGATTGCTGCTGCTAAGTTCATGGTATTAATACACTAAATATAATCACCATCTATTATCGGCCTTTCTGGTGGTCTGGGAAGTTGGAAGGCAGTTTTGCATAGCTTGCTGCCTTGATTACCTCAAAGCGATCAATAAAAGGTTTTCAGCAGAGGCTTTTATTGCCAAGTGGTTAAAATGTTCTTCCTGTGCATCCTGTGTGTGATGATTTCAGCTCTAGGAGAAAGATGCAGCAATCCTTTTTGAGGTAACTTAATTACACAGAAATATTTAGACTGCGAGGTTGGGTTTAATTCCCCTCCATCACCCAGTTGCAGCACCTCACACTGGGCGGCCTGTCTGTTTTGTCATCACGCTTGTCCGGTGGGTTCTGTGGGCTGTGATTTCAACAAACCCCTGGGATTCAGGCAGGGGAGAAGAGTGTGGGAAGCAAAGACGAATCAAAGCTCAGGCTGGGAAGAACTGCTCAAAACCTTTACCTCTGGTTAGCAAAAACACTCATGTGTGTTTGATGGCCTGAAAAATGGTGTCTTATGAATGCAGGAGGGCAGCGGGAAAGCGAATGCAGAGCCTGATGCGAAGCCCTTAAGTGCAATAATTGATGCCTGCTAATACAGGGGCATAACCCTGAAACACCCCCAAATCCTACCCGACTTGAGCACCGCTGCGAGTGAGCGTGTGCGCCGTGTGTGGCTTGTGCTTGTGCAGTGCTTCAGTGGCAGCTTTTTCATTTTGCAGACGGTTTCCATCCTGGAGCAGAGGCTGACCCTCACTGAGGACAAGCTGAAGGAATGTCTTGAGAATCAGCAGAAAATCATTCAGAACAAAGTGAACTGACTGCAAGAGAGAAGTGAAGGTGCTTGGAGGTTTGAGGCTTGGTGGTTTGGGTTTTTAACAGTGTGTGTGTGTAACTTTAATTATTTTGAGAGCAACTGATTTTTGATAGAAATGTACAGTTATTATATCTGTAAATACAAAGCTTTGTTACTTTGCTAAAATAAAGAGGTTTTTATTCATCAGCCTGGATAATGATTATGATCTCTTGTGTTTTCCAGATACTGTAGTAGCCCGAGTGTGCTATGAGGACTGTCTAGCAAGGTCGCATCCCATAAGCTTTAGCTGCTTTTGAAAGTGCTTAAACATCCTGGAATTGCCACGCGTGTCACATACACGGTACTAGGCTGCTCACTGAGGTCTCTGCTGGTTAGAGGTTGCGGCCAGGAGCTCCTGGAGGGATGTTTTGGGCAGAGGATCCTGATGCAGTGGGAGTTCACAGGGAATGACCTAGAGAGGCTGGTGCCCGCAGAAGGTTCTGTCTCACCCGGGCCTCAGGTGGTGCTGGGGCATCTGACACCGCAGATACCCCATGATATTTGTGCGGAGACGCTGGTCCAGCGGGGGGGATTTAACCCGCTCCCTTGTACGGGCTGTGGAAACGTTTGCTGTGCCGGAGGCTGCCGGAGAGGCTCCGGCTAGTGGGACGCGGTGCAGATTCCAGGGGCCTCTTGCTGTGTCTTGGTCTGCTTTTTAAATTAAAGGTAGGGGAGAGGGGAGAAAAGAGGAGGCAACCAAATAGCAGAGCACTTGCTGCAATCCTAGAACTTCCTCCTCCACGCTGGAATAGCTTTAACTTTGTCATCTGGCAGATGTTTCCACAGTCGAATAGCTCATCACTCGCACCTCTGCTCTCCCCCTGCTGCTCCTCCAAGACTGTCTTTCAGGGCTTTAGCAGGTGTTCAGTATGTAGCTTCATAAGAATTTGGGCTTTTGGGAGATCCTGTTCCCCAACACCTCTTCTGCTAACGTGCACTGGTGATCTCCTTTCTTACAATAGACTGTCTTGACCAGTATTACCCACATTCCTGGAGAAATAGGCTGCAGGAACTTGGCCTTCTCCAGGTTAATGAAACACTCCTCCATACAGTCCTTCTGACCCCTTAAAAACGAGTTTCCATCCACTCCGGCCCTTGGCTGTTGTCCCTTCTCATGGCTGCTCGTGTCCCAGACTCGCTCAGCTTCCCAAGCCGCCTGTCTCCGGGGGTGCAGGGGGTGCTGCCCGGCCTCTGCCTGGCACCCTGACTTTGTGCAGGGCTTAGCTGATCTTAGCATCAGCCCTATCTGGTTTGTTTTGCACCTGTTTCTCTTGAGGACCATCTGATGTCCTTCCACATGCTGGTACTTCCCACATCTCTAAGAACCTCTCACTGGCATCATCACAAAATTTCATTCTTTTTGCTTTACACAAAGGCAAGAGTTTTCTCTTTTCCGAGTGTATTTGCTTGATTATAAATCTGAATTTCTCTCTGCCCAACCGCAGGCTGTTTGCTCTTTCCAAGCTCAGAGTCTGATAAAATCATTATTTTCTCTTAGATTAAGCTAATGGAATCAATTCAGTGATATTCTCCGGTGCTCTTGCTATAAGCTTTCAGTGGCTTTTTGCTGAGAGACTGACATCATTTTCTCATTGCAGTTCTGCTTATGTCCTGATGGGTAGGGAGAGTCAAAAGCAGGTAGGGCTTATTTGTTGCTAGAAAAAAGCTCTTTCTACATTGATCTGGTATGATTGAAGCGGTGGCAAAAATACATTGTAAGAGCCTGATTTATTGGCTTGATCCCAAATGTTCTGGACTAGCTGTTGAGGGAGGATAGAGGTTTGGAGAGGAAAACTTAAATTATTTCAACATTCATCAATTTTTAAACTTGTTTTTTAAAAGTAGCCTTCTCCTCTTTTAATTCGTAATTTCTAAAGATTGCAGAAGCAATTTGTACATAGTATTTTATGGTGAACGTCAATAAAAATGATCTGGATGCATTTGATACAGACCCTTTTTCCGTTCAGCTGCCCTGCGAATGCCTCTGAGAGGTAATTGGGCTTCTCGACTAGACGAGGGACTTGGGTGCTGCAAGGCGAGCTGGGGGAGCGCAAGGAAAGCTGCTTTTCCGTAGTCGAGTTCTGCAAGGCATGAATTTGATCAGTGCAACAGGGCATTTTGTAAAAATAACCCATAGCCCGTGGGTGCAGGGAATTATAGATGGGGGCAATCTTAAAAAAAAAAAAAAAAAAAAGGCCTTTTCTCAGTGAGGAGTCCTGCTTTGTACGTCCCTGCGCTGAGGCTGCTCACCCTGCAAGCTGCGGGTGGTGAAATCTCTCTGGGAGGAGGCTGCAAAGAGTTAAGGATTTTGTTTTGGATCTCCAAGGCTCGCTTGAAGCCAAGTTCTTAAAAAAGTAGTTTAATTTGTTGCCATTACATTTGCCAGACATATGACCTCACTAAACTTTTAGCAACAGTTCTTTGTGCCGAGATTGGCCCTTGGGGAAACTGGCTGTGCCTGAAGACTGCTGCAAATGGATTTTTGGCCGCTGTGAGTACGGAGCATGTTAAACATAATCATGATCTGTGAAAAAGTAAGAATCTTCAAGCACTGCCCACTTTCCTTCCTGTCTGGGAGCTGGAATTGGACAGAGGCCACAGTTGAGCTCATAACTGAATAGGCAGAAAACACAGTGCTGTGATACTGGCGGTTCTGGCCTGGAAGCTGGATGGCCAGGAGAACCCTCTGTCACAGTGTCACAACTGGACATGTGTCTGCCAGTTAACGAGAAGATAAAATCCAACTATGATCTAAGCTGTTGGGCTGAAACTAGCCAATTTCCTGGTACGAACCACTTATATAATGTCTTAAAAGATCTGCTTTGGAACTAAGTGTTTTTTGAAACACGAGCGAGTAGGAGAGGAGGAAGAGGGATCATTCCGCAGCGGTTCGTCACTGATGACACGGAAGCGGGAATACGTGCCCGCTGTTTCAGGAATGGTTGGGCTCCCTGGGCAGTGCTAGCGCTTTTCAGATGTGGGATCTGATGGGCTGCCCTCACGGGAAGGAGATGTGATAGGAAGGAAGGGTCTCATGGATTCTCATCTCTGGCCTGGGTTTAGCCTACTGAGGAAAGCTTCGCATGTGTCTCGGGAAAACTGGGAGCTCTTTGCAGCTTTGCACCAGAACTGCTGTTGCCCTCAGCCATCGTGTAGTCCCTCGTTTTCCTTGTCAGTGCTATGAATGGCTTCTTTTGGTGAGATTCAGGTGCTGTGGAGGACCAGCTACTGGAGATTTGACTGTGCTCTGTCAGGGAGGAGGAAGGTCAGTGTGCCCCTGAAGTACAGCCCTTTGGCGTCCTTGCCTTCCTCCCCTCCTCCTCCTCTTCCTCGTAGCTGGGGGCCGGTGCTGCTGAGCACCCCTGTGCTGTGCAGCGGAGCCCGGCACTCGGGGAGGCTGCGGTCACCTTGCTGAGCAGGAGGAGGCACCGCTTCTCCCGTCCTTTTCCATGTCCCTCCTGGAAGCTGGAGGCTCACGTAGCTGCTCCCTCACCAGGGGCTGCCCAGGGAACCTGTTTTTAGGGGGCAAAAACCAAAAGGAGCATTTGAAGTTGACTGGGATGGCTCATAACTGGGGATCGGGAGTAGGTGCTCAGGGCGGTGCGTTGGGAGAGGGCGATCCCTGGGAATGAGCTTCCCAAAGAGCTGGCGCTGTTCCGGGGAGGGGGCCTCGGTGGCTGCTGCACAGCTGGAGCAGGGTGCGTACCCGCTGCAGATGTGCAGGCTGCAGAGGCCCCTTTCCCCAGGGATCACCCCTAGCTTGCCTTGTGCTCCCTCCAGCCCTGCCTCCCTAACAGCGCAGTGCAGCTGGAAGCCCACGGTTGTGTGTCACAGAACAGTGAGGCTAAATCAGCGTGGTGACCCGGTGCCAAAAACCTGTCACCTCAATTCTCCGTCGCGGTTTCCGCTCCCTGCAGGCATCTTCCATGCAGCTAATGACTTGCTGCCGCGTCCGGACACCCGTCACCTTGCGGATATGGTGGCAGGGTGCGTGGCGCTGCGATCCTTCAGGCTGCCGGGGTGGTTTTTTCGGCAAGCGTCCAACAAGCGGTGCAGGGACAGGCGGAGGCCGCCTGTTCGCGGAGCCGCGGCCGCGGGGAGCGCGTGCTGCTGGTGGCAGCCGTTCCCTTGGCACCGACGGACGGGGCGAAGCTGCAGAGCCGCCGGCGGGGGCTGGAGCGCTGCTCCGCTCCCCTCCTCGCGCTCCCTCCGTGCTTCCTTCACAGCGCGGGGAGCCGTTCCAGCACGCTCCCCTCGCTGCCTGCGCCGCCGCTGTCGCCTTCACAGTCCTCCGGCGAGGCCAAAGGCGGGAGCGGGGCCTTGGGGACCTCTGGAATGGGGACCCTCTCCAGAAGGGAGGTTTCCCTGCCCAGCTGAAACAGGCAGATGAGTCCCCCAACGGCCTCAGGGGGTGCTCAGCACCACGAGGACCTCCAGCAGCACAACCAGGGGCTCTGCTTTCCCCGTGTGTGACCCCTCGGCCACGCGTAGACCTATTCCCGGCAGGAACAGCACTGCCTGCTGCTACTGCACTTGGTCCCCACTCTGCAATAGGCTAATCCTCTGCAAACGCAGGAAGATCTCCTTTCCTTCCCCTCCTGATTAGCCAGGTTCTTGGGAAGGCCGTGCTGATTTCAGAGCTTTTTCAGCTGCTTTCATGCCAGGACGGGTTCATGCTGCTTTCTCTGTTGCATCTTCATGCTGAGTTTCCCTCCTTGC